TGTGCTGGTTGGGCGACATAACAGGTTACCGCTACTGTTTATTCCAAAAACATTGTGCGTCTTTCGGAATTAAATTCTAAAAATATCACGTAAATTTCGTTACAATTTCTCAGAAACGATCATTGCGGGAAAATTGTTGGCCGGGACTAAGATTTTTGAACGATCGATGCGATAAAACGATAGTTCGAGGAACGATAGAAGCGGGAAAATGTAACATTATTTTATATGGGATGTATTCGGGACCGAACAAAACGGACGATGCATCCGGGAAAACGATAGTTCCGGGAACGATAGATAGAGGTTTCACTGTATTCCAATATACTTGTGAATGTAATTGAATTATTTCTATTTAAAATGTGTTTGGTACACTTGTACTTGTCATGGTGGCCTACTAAAATCTGATGTTTCTTTCATTTGTAATCCCCTCTTCTTTACAATTAATCTTTGCCAAAGGTAATGTTCCTAATTTAAAATATTTTTCCAGCCTCCTAAAGCTGAACTGTGGAATGGCGACTTGCTGGGGTACGTCATCTACTGGAATGTTCACGGCACTTCGCCTGGTTTTGGAGGAAACCACACTAGTTCACACACAGTATGTATATGTGTTAATTTCAGTGTATTTGATGTAACTCAGATTACTTCACTTCACTTAGTCGGTCCTCTTCTACCGCTTGGTGTGCATGTGTACATGTTCATGAAGGTGCTAATGTTGGTCTTCTAGGTTGTATCAACCTGACAATTGAGGTAGTATGTTCCTCCAAAATGTTTGTATCTACCTATGCAAGTCAACATCACATTACAGCACAGAAGACAGACATTAAGACCTCTGACATCGGTTTTAATATTATCCTCCCATCTACAACTGCTCTCCCAAATGGTCCTTTTCTTTCATGTTTTCTAACTAAAATCTTGGTGACAAAATCTTTGTTATCAAGATTATGTTGCTTCATGCTTCGTTAAGTAGCTGATTTGATTATAGCTTCAACTGATGTTTGTGATAAACTGAAGACTGAATTGAAAGCAATAATAAATTGTTTCCTCTTTCTGAGGTGCATGGAATGTCTGTCAACCAGTTCCGGTTAACTGATCTTCGCAAATTTACACATTATGATGTCACAGTAGCAGCATTTAATGGTGTGGGGATTGGACCACAATCAGCTGTTGTCACAGCAGCGACACAAGAAGGAGGTATGTATGGCCTATATTATGTAATTTCTACAAGATTTACAATTTGAAAGATTAAGAGATTAAACATATAATTTGAAATTTAGTTAAGTAGGACAGTTACCCTTAAAGAAGATCACAATCACTAAACAAACTAACAGTGTAGAGTGGACCACTTTAGTACAGGGATCATGAATTTTAATCTCGCTAAGGGTACACGTATATGTCCACATTGTTTCATTTTTTTTTCCATGTTACTAGTATGATCCCTCACCCGAGTTATATAAATTGCCTAAGCATTCTACTTTCTTGGAAATATAAATGTTAGTAAGAATGAGGCATGAAAAATGAAGGAAAAGTTCCTGTTGTATTTTGTATATCTATATGAACAGTTCCAGAAGCTCCACCCCAGAATGTGGCATGTTCTCCACTGTCATCACAGAGCGTCAAAGTGACCTGGTCACCACCGCCTGCAAACCAACATGGCGGTCTGCTGCAAGGCTACAAAGTAATCTATAGGCCAGTCCAGAAGGACAGCAGTAAGTATAGTCCACAGACCAGGAGAAAAGCCCTGCTAGGAATTTGTTATACGCGCATGCGCAAGATTTCGCCGTGAGTGACGACCCTTCCTAAAAATGTGCGTTCCACAACCACTGAACGAACAACAGACAACAGGCTTTCATGTGTTCTAATGGGTACAGCTTTAAGATTACCTCACAGAGGCACAGTGATTTAATCTAGAATATTATCGCAACACCCACAGAACACATTAGAGGTGCACCCACTACACGCTACTCTTAACTGCTTCATGTTTTCAGTCTGTGTGTAGTAGTGTAAAAAACTGATGTATCACACTTCCCACCAATAGCAGCCCTCTAGTCCACTTGATAGTAAACATTCTCCCCGCACCGCACCAGAAACGACTTACCCCCACAGGGCTTTTCTCCTGGTCTGTGGACAGTATGTTATTTGTATGGCTAGATCATTTGTTGTACCGAAGAGATGACTGAATATCAGAAAATGGTCAATATTTTGGTGTATCAGTGCCCATTCATGCATAATTTGAGGTTAGTAATCTGCTTACTTTACCAATTTCTAATTTTATTTAGTACTCTTTGAGAACTGGTATGACATTTAGGAGTCGTTACTTCTGCCTCTTCTTGACTAAGTGAACCCTGAAGATAAAGTTGGAATTCTAACTACATACCTTGTAAAGCAAATAAGATGTGGTATCACTGTAGAGGGAGAATTTTTGATTGTGGTAATTTGGAAGATAATACATTACAGCAGTGTTAATTAAAGCGAGGAAGTTGTACTGCAGTAGGTTTCCACTGCCAATCATCATTTCACCATTACTCCATATTCATCAATCAATGCGATGTCCTGTGCAAGCAGCACATTATCATACCCAGTCTTGTAAGTTAAGAACCGCGTCTCAGATCTGACACTTCGTAGTTTAGTTTTAGTTAAAACTACAGGTAGCAGAAGAATATGTATTTTATTTTCCTTACGCAGTTATCCGCCTTGCCAGCAGTGAAGTGAAACGAACATCTAGCGTGGAGACTTACCTTCATGGTCTCTTGAAGTTCACTAATTATTCTGTCCGTCTCCTGGCTTACACCAGTGTTGGAGATGGTGTCGTCAGTGATACGGTCTACTGTGCGACTGAACAGGATGGTAAGTTTGCTTGGAAAACTGGTAGTTCTTCAGCCGACAAAGATTTCCTACTTTTGCATAACTCAGAATTTCATTATTTTTTTAAAAAGCACATTATTAAATCATGAACTGAATCGCTTGAATTTAGTCCATAACTCTGCACTCTGTTTATCGTAGTTTATTCTAATAATATCATCACCCCTAGGGTCATGTCTCGTAGATGATATCTTCACTCTATTTCTTCTGAACCAGTCTCTTACATATTTCTAATTGGCATTCAACTGTCTCATCTCATAAAATACAAAATACAAACCTAACCTAAAATAAAATTTATTTTGTTTGATGGATCTTATCTCATACACTGAAATTCTTTCTGAGCAGTCGTGTAGCATGCATGATATAAGGAGTTGTTATATAAACTTATTTTTGCACAGTTCCTGGACCACCAGCTGGAATGAAGGCTTTGGCACTCACAGGAGACTCCATATTGGTGTCATGGCTTCCACCTGACCAACCAAATGGAATTATTGTCCAGTACACAGTCTATGTTGTTGAGGGAGGCCGAGTTAAGGTAGAAGTAAACAAACTGCGAAATATATTATAATGTGAATATAGTCGTATATTACCGAGTTTTAATCTCTACTAAAGCTTACTCAGAAAAGTCTTAGTTCAGCTGCTTACATAGAATTTTGTTATGTGGCGTAGTGTCTAGTCCTTCTTGTAGTTTAATTCACAATCTTCTCCCGTAAAGCGGTACGACAAAAATTCTGTTAACATTTAATTTGAAGATCTGAAACGAACACTGTAATATGTAGTTTCATTAATCAATAATATGATACAGTCTTACAACCACGGGGGGTTAAATTCCTGAAATACGCGTTTTGTAAAACTGCTGTTGGCGAGATGGCAAATTGAGGGTTATGGGAACAGTCATCAAAGCCTAACTAAATGTAATTAAGCCTCACAGCGGTAAGTAGATGACAGAAAACTGTTTCTGGATGCTATTTTACCCTTCTCCTTAGAAGATGAGAATATTTTGTTGCAGAAGCCACTGATTTCATCCAGGAAATGAAATGTATGAATACATGAAACCTTAAACTGCAGTTGGCAAGACCATGGTTGGTTAGAATAATTTATTAAATATAATATGAAAGCTTCTATAACACATGACAAACTTCTCTTGGTCACGAATGGAGAGATCACATATGTAGTTTGATTATTTTCAAACTGATATTGACCTTTTTTTAAAAAAATAAGTATTTTAAGTTAATGTCTTGTAAGATACATTTTACTTAAACATTTTCTTCACATGTGATGATAATATGAGGAATATGTTTGTATGTTTCATTCCAGAATTTTCATAATGTGAGGTTTTGTAGATGCCATCGAAACTTGCAAAGATAGTATGACTCTTGTCTGTAGTGTTCGGTCAAATCTGAGTTGATACTTGATTCCACTATACATTCTAATTATAGAATATAGAAATGTTTCTACAGTAAATGATGTCATCCGTTATTTATCAGAAATGCAACAACTGGCATTAAAAAACCATTGCTGTAATATGTCAGGTGACACTTGAAGCTCTTATTTATTCAGTTTCTCTGCTTCGTACAGCCTTCCAGCTTTTCGGTGCGTGTGGGGCCAAGTTCTGAAACGGTATTTGAGGTCCGCAGTCTTGTAGAGCTCCAGCGCTATGAGTTTTGGGTGACAGCATCAACCATTGTAGGAGAAGGGGAGGGGACTCGTCCAATTCCGCAAGCTCCCAATTCAAGAGGTAGGGCAGTGATCCAGTTTATCATGTTTTATAGATAATAATTACCAAGGTAATATTGTCACATACTTGTAATTTACTTCCTGAGAATTAATGATTACTGGGAAGGATGAGCAACTCATATAAACAGAGATTGAGTGAAATTATTTGCAACAGCAGAAATACATTTTAATTTACACACTACAAGAGCTTCACTAGCAATAAATAAATATTAGTGCCGAAGTTGACAAAGAATGCGTTTGTAAAATATGTGTACAAAAAATATTAGTTTAAATGTCCGAAACTGCAAAAATATGAATGCTAAATCCAGAAAATTGCAAACGTTATGTTCTAAAGCAATTGCCACGTATTTTTATGCACTCTTTCTTCTTTCGGTAATGCTATTCTACGTATATGAAGAATAAGCACTCTGACTGCAGCGTGCTATTGGTCCAACAGTAACTTACATGATATTGCTTCTACTTTTTTTATTGCGTAAGTTAGACTTGAAATGTCTTCTGCCTTCTGTGCAGCACCGGCACGGATAGCGTCATTCTCACAGACTCTGCGCCACGCAGACAAATCAAATGTGATACTTCCATGTGTTTGTGTGGGTCTCCCAATACCAACTATAACCTGGCGACGATCCACGGAGATAATTCGTGGTGAACCCAGTTCCAACCATGAACTTTCTCCACAAGGGACACTGAATATACATCGTGAGTGTACTTTGTGTATATCTGAGCAGTCATTTTGAAATGTAATAGATTAAGAATCTTTTACCACCGCATTTAAATTTACTGTATCCTATGACCGGGTATTGGTTGGGAAGCCTGAGGGGAAGAGACCTCTGGGGAGAGCTAGACGTAGATGGGAGGATAATCTCAGGCGGGATCTATGGGAGATAGGAGTTGAAGGAGACTGGATTTTGTTGGCCCAAGACAGGGTCCGGTGGAAGGCTTTGGTTAATTCGGTGATGAACGTTCGGGTTCGGTAAGCCATCTAGTTAGTTAATTAGTTAGTTAGTTAGTATACTGATGGCATATGACCAGATACTTTGTTTCAGTATGATAAGTACTGCAGTCATACCAAAGGGTTAATTTGTAGGTATAGAATGAAATATTTAGCCCTTGTCACAGTTGATGTGGTAAATAATATTGTTTGCTGCACCTAACTGTCCTAGAATATGAGGATAAAGTAAACTTAAATGACACAGTAAGAGGTAAATTAATCCAGCTTTTCGAGTGAGAATGAGATGGAGAACAAGGGATGAAGCAGTTGATGGCTGTCTTCTGGGTTCTTCTTCTTCTACTGTGGCTCTCCAGTCTGTATTCGATCCATGGCCTCCTCAATTCTCCTCTGTCCGAGGCTTTGATTGAGGTTTCGAAACATCTTCCTTTTTATGGTGCAAAGTTGTTAGCCTTGCGACCAACCCCCAACCTGGAGGACCAGGGTACTTGTCTTCATCTGACCTCTCCCCGTTGACTAATCTGGCTAGGGAGGCCCTACCAGTAGCTATGCTACCGCCAGCATAGCTCCTGGGATCACTGAGGTACTCAGGCCCCACCACCACGACAAGGTGCAGGTACCATTAAGTGAGGTATTCTGGGTTCTTGCAAGACAGCATGAAATTCTGAAATATGTGTGAAAGTAGATGCATGCTACTCATATATATAGATAATTTAAATCCAATTATGTTAGTAATATCTCATTTTATTCTTCTGATAGATTTGGATAAATCTAAGGAGGGGAACTATACATGCATGGCCAAAAACTTGTGGGGTGAAGACCAAGTTACGTATCAGGTGTTGGTGCTGATGGCACCAGATGCACCCAGTCTTGAGTTGCAGCTCACGACCAGCCGCACGATTAACCTGCGATGGAAGGCTGCTGGTGATGGTGGTGCACCCATACAGGGTAATCACCAGCGTACATTGTCATGGGACTGTCTGTAATAATCTTTGTTGTTCTTTGATCCTACAAAATGCTTACTAGCACAATTATGGTTTAATTGAATCATTCTTGTGTTAACACTCCAAGACAACATGAAATTAGAATTGACTTTGTTAACTTACTTATTCTGAATTCATTCTACAGATGTCACAGGTGAAGCCTCAATTGAGAACTGAGATGATAATGTGCTGGCACAGTGAATGAATTTGGAGAATTGGTTGTATGATCGCTGGGAGGAAGAACTGAAATACTTTAAGAGAAACCACAGTTTTTATGTCTCCTAGGTTCAAAGTGTTACATATTTTGACGCAGGCTATGTGCTGAGTTACAAACGAGACCATGGCAACTGGCAGGAAGTGCAGCTGGATGCTGACAGGATGTCATACGTTCTGCAATCATTGCACTGTGGAGCCACATATCATACTTACCTCACAGCTCACAATAAAGTGGGCAACAGTCGTACAAGTGGTATTGTTACAGCCATCACTAAGGGTGGAGGTAATTCAGAACTTTACACAACCCTTGCAACTATTAGACACTCAGACATTTTGAAGTCAATTTCAGATCATATATTTTCAAAAGTAAAACAAGTTAAGAAATATACAGCATAAGATTTCTGGTGCGTTTGCCAGGTTTTGACCTTTGAATGGCAAGCCACCCCATATGACAAGAGCTTTACCCTAGTTACTATATAAATAACTAAGTTTTGGTCAACTGTAATATCCAGTGCAATGATTTCAGCTCCTTTACTGCCAAGCTCCAGTGAACTCATCTCTGCAAATGCGACATCGATCAGTCTGCAGCTGGCATCTTGGCCAGATGGTGGTTGTCCCATTGTCTACTTTGTGGTTGAGTACCGACCACTAAGTGGAAACAATCGGAACTGGTTGCTGGTTGATAATAATGCTCCGGCAGAACAGATATCTCTGCGAGATCTCCAGCCTGCAACATGGTATCAGCTTCGCCTCACTGCACACAATGATGCTGGCTCTACACGGGCACACTTCAGCTTTGCCACCACAACCATTACAGGAGGTAAGAAATGACTAAAATAGTAAGTAGTGGCTGGTTTCTATTACAGTTATTCTGTTATCCAGTTACCAAGTTTCAAAGTGTAGCAGATAGTATTCCTGTTTCATAGATGGGATAATCTGCTTAAAATACTGGATAAGAAACTGATAATCTCCTCCGTCTTTGGAGTGACCACGTGCAGGACAGTACAGCATCACAATCTACAGGACATTTGATATCAACACCACAAGAACCTCAAATCTCATGTAACTGATTCCCATACTTACCTGTTGTTGTTCCTTGGCTCTACAACCCAGTTGTTGGTCTTCGCCACCTCATTTTCGGAGGTTTCCTGGTCTTAGGCAATGTCCTAGGTAAGCGATAAGAAGCGAGCTGTGCGAGCTGCATAAGCAGCATGGGGTGTCATATGACATAAGGGAATCGCTTGTTGTGTCCTACGTGAGAGAAACACACGGCCTTCCTGCGCATGCCCCTTCCATGTACTGCACAGGCAGAGCTTTCTTGTGCATGCGCTTTACTGGTCAGCGCAGCGACCTGCGTGAAAATATCAAAATATTTGAACTTGGACTTCGGTCGCTTTCCTCTCCTGACTGATTCGCTTTAACCTAGGACAGCGCTACACATACAGCCAGTTTGATATTTCCGCTTCACCCACGCAACTTGCACCGCTCGCATTTAATTGCTCACGTAGGACACCGGGTTAAAGTGTGCATCTATGAGTAGCGAGTGACCAGCCCACTGACGTATTTACCTATGAAATGCTTTATTTATGCAAAGGGTTTTCAAGGATCCTGCAGATAAAATGGTAATAGTGGCAAATTTTATCTTGCGTACCAGTTTAAAAGTTAATATTATTACTTAAGTATTAAAGTCACAATTTGGAAAGTTTGTTTTGTCCGTAATTATATTGAGCTGAATTCCATCTACAGCATATAATGTGTTAGTGGCCGACAAACAAACACCAGGAGGCCAGTTATTCCGACTGACGTGTTTGTGGTTTTCCGTATTGCGGGAAAATTCTGGGATGAAACACTGAATTATTGCAATATTGTTTGTTCTGTTGACAGAAACTATTCCACCACCAAACGATTTGCAAGATCCATCAACCGGCGCACAGTTCTATAGGGATGTCTATGTGATGGTACCCATAGTGTGTGCTGCTGTTGTACTGCTGTCTGCCCCACTGCTTGGTTACATCGCTCTTCACAGGAGGTACAGTGCAGTTACTCCATGGAAGTAGTTTTCTTGAGAATGAACATGTCATGTCTAATTAAATAGAAGATTCTGGGTTTTTTTTTGGTTTCTTTTTCGTATCCAGTACACACCATTCAGCATGGTGTGCATTGGTGGTTAGCAGGATTCACGACCCATCAGTACATGGGTTCGACCGGGACCGCGACATTTAACGCTCCTGCTGTGACCCCCTTTTCGTGAAATTTGATGAAAGTGGAGTAATTGTTGGGATGCCACAGAGAAACCGGGAAAACCCCGGAGGAAAACTCCGTGATGCCTGGACCACAGCCTTGCCCAACACACGTTGTAGTTCTGAGCACCGCCGGGAATCAAACCCGGGACCCCAGGATTACGAGCCCAGCGTTCTAACTGCTAGACCACCGTGGCGGTTAAAGATTCAGTGAATTAGCTGCATTGGATGTTGGAATGTTTTCAAACATTTCTTCAAACACTGCAGCTGCCATCTGGAAGAAGTTATACACCGAAGTCTGACTGTAAAGACCTAAGGACAAGGATTTTGAATTATGATGAAGGTTAACTAAAGTTTTTGAAATATTTTGTCTTTTGTCGAATAGATGTCTGTGGTTGCTACCACTCCTTCGCAAATCTTAGTATGAGCCAAGAATGACCTGTGTATTTGTCTATTATTGATGCATGTATGGTATAAAATCAGAAGATAACAGGATGATTAAATGGCGTGAAGTGTTCTAGGGCAATAAGTCACATCAGTACAGAGTAAAAGTGTGTATTGACATAACTGATTGCATGAGAAGACTTTATCATAATATTTCAATAAAATTAAAAATAACAGTGTTATGAAATTTGTTGGTGTGATGGGAATTCTGATATATTATTGTAACACTTCGTGTGAAATTTGTATTCAAGTATTTTGTAATTCTATCCATTAGTAGTATGAACGTTATTAAAATAACGCTCTAACTTCATAGAACCAAAATATGAGAAAACGTGTTCTCTTATGGTGTTCTTAACTTTCTTATTGAAGAACATGTGTGAGGACAGAGGGGTACAGCAAACCAGGTCGCAACTTGCCCGAAAGTCACAGTGTGTGTAGCAGTTCAGCAGAAATGGATAACAAGCGCAATTGCCAACAGGTGTACTCATCTTCACCTGTCAAACCTGAGGGGCATCACCATCATCATAATCCGAAACACATCGAGACTGCATCAGGTTAGTAACTAAATCAATGTGAATCGAGACTGCATCAGGTTAGTAACTAAAACTAAATTGCCATTATTTGTCTCCCTGTTCATTAACTTTTTTCCTAGTGTCTGCATGAATTCATGTTAGTTAGTTAGTTAGGTAGTCAATTAGTTAATTCCTTTTATTCATCTTGGGAACATAGGGCTGATATAAAACTCCTCCACCTCACTCAGTTGTTGGCGAGTGCCTTTATTTCCTTCCAACTTTTCTCTTTTTTCATGCTTAGGGTCAACAGAGAATCAGGCCGGAATTGTTTTATATCAGTTTCTTTCATATTAGAGATTTAAGGCAGTGTTGGTTATGAGCCACTCAGCAGCCCAAGCCTGGCGGAGGGGCTGCCTCCTTTGGCCACCAGGCTGGCCGGACTGCTTCTTTGCTTGCCCCTTCTCCTCAGACCTTACCAGCATGGGTGGCCCTACCAGAAACATACATTCCAGGCGGCATCGCTCTTCGGGTCATTAGGGGACTGAACACTCCCACCAACGTTAAGGTCGTGCAGTCCCTAGGGAGGGTGAATTCATTTAGAGATTACAAAATTCTGTTCTGAATGCTGTGGTGTATCTTTGACAGTATTTGAAGTAAGAGAAAGATAAAGTTGAAAAAGAGTAATTCAGTTTGTGTTCTAATTCTGCTCTGCCTGTGTAATGAGATGTAAGATGTGCCACTGGAGTAATGCGCATTTGTCGTATGTTTGTAGCAGAGATCTACGAGATGAGCCCTTATGCTACGTTTGCTATGGCTGCATCGCCGGCCACTCGAGAACTGAGCACTACAACTCTTGACTATACTGTACAGTTCAAGACATTTGGCCACTCAGAAAATGACAGTGGCATTCACCAGGATCAGATGCCTGCTGGGAGATCCAGCAAGAAACACTCCCGCCATGTTGCCTCCTCTGATGGTACAGATCTTTTAAAGATTTAATCCCATGTATCTTATCTTAAATTCACTGCAATGTATATTAGGTCTGAAAAATAGCCAGACTGACTCTGTAGAAAATCATTGCACATTAGTTGTTGCTGTTTTAATTGTTTCCAAATAATTAATTTATTACAGAATTTTAAAAAAAGCCATTAAGAATTCCCTAATTTGTAAAAGGATGACTGTAAATTAATTCAGTACTGTAAGGTATTATTTTTTTACTTGTCATTATAAAACTCAAGAATGTGTTCAAGTAATGAAAATTTTTAAAATTAATTATTGACCCATCAGAGCTGATGGGAATGATTCCATTTTGTGTTTACTGCGAAATTAAGTTACCTTTGCAAATCACACTGGAAGTACAACGTTTACAAGGTTTCTATATGAAGTAAATTAAATGTAAAAACATATTCATGGACACTGAAGCCTGCAAAGCAAAACTAACCACAAGTCTCCAGACTACAGACTCCCGTTAAACATAGACTCTGCCACCATAGGTACCGCCGCAGCTTTGTTTGTATTTCTTGCTACCAGCGTCACAGCCGTCAGAACATAATTTCAATTTTGCTGGATCACACAAATGGCACACTCATACACAAGTATGACAGACATTGCCACTTATATATGAAACATGTTTAATTACATATCTGTAATTACTTACGTTTATTTGGTGCTCCACTTCAATGAGTCGCAGAAAGAATTAGTATGTGATGACTGTCGTTACCATAATAACTTTTTATATTATCTCCTTTGCAGTGAACAGCTAAATTCTCAAATATATGTCAGACAAACTAATGTGTTAATAGAACTGTGACTTTTTTGTGAAGTATTTTTCAACTTCAACTCCTGAATTCCCCCTTTTTTTATGAACGTACAGTTTCAGTGATACTTGTTGGACAATTAGACATTCATTTTGAAGCCATTATAAAAATATCTCTTGGCATCGTTAGAATAGGAAATTCTGCTTATAAATAAGGCAGTGGCCTGTTACCATATTTCCTTCATGTTAAGATGCATTTTTGCACATTTTGGATTTTCTGAAAACAGGGGGCATCTTACATTTGATGACTTCTTAGAATTTATATACCATTTTTTCCATGAAAACGTATTACTAAATCAAGAGTGTGTCTTAAAATCAAACGAAATATGGTTTATTGATAAATGTGTGAATACCGATGTGATATTTCAGTTATTTTAGGGTGTGGTCATTGCAGGTGAGAGCAGTCGGCAAATTGCCCAACAGGTAGCAAGTAGAATGAGACACGCAAGCTCAAAGCCTCACCATAGAGACAAACAGCCTGCTGCAGAAAGTGCAATACATGGTGACTCAGAGTCGGACACAAGTGGCAGCCCTTCAGCTGTTAGCAGTTACCGAGTCCCCATCAAGCCACCAGCCTCCAGAAGTCTAGGTGAGTAATTAGCGTTCTTGCTATGATAAAACACATGCCTTCATGTTTTCATGTTTGTTCGCACTCTATTTAAAATTGAGTATAACTTGTGGAAAATGTTCGAGTAACACAACATGCAGCATGGCATTTCTTTTGTTATTGTTATTTTGAAACATCTTGTTTTATACAGAAGACGCTAAAGGTGCTGAAGACATAATGAGAATAACGAAAGAAAGAAAGAAGATAAGGAAAAATATCTTCTTCTTCTATGGCTCTCCGGTCCGTATTCGGTCCATGGCCTCCTCAATTCTCCTCTTCCATTCGGTCCTCCGTTAGGTCCGTCTCTCCGAGGTTTTGATCGAGGTTTCGAAACATTCCTTTTTACGGTGCAAGGTTGTTAGCCTTGCGACCAACCCCCAACCTGGAGGACCAGGGTACCTGTCTTAGTCTGACCTCTCCCCCTCGACCAATCTGGCTAGGGAGGCCCTACCAGTAGCTGTGCTACCACCAGCATAGCTCTTGGGGTCACTGAGGTACTCAAGCCCCACCATCACGACAAGGTGCAGGTACCATTAAGTGGGGAAGGAAAAATATTTCATCTCTAATTTCAATAGACTTTTTATGCTAGTAATCTTATAATTAGCCCTTTCTTAATCCTTTATAGTATGTAATGCCAGATCTATCCATTATTTTGCAATAGAACAGAATAGAAATGGAATATGCCCGAAATTGAGATTTGAATTATTGTGGGGCATTGTTTTACAAGTGTGATTACTTTGTACCACAGTGCATAGTATTTCAGCAGCACCGAGTCTTGAATGTCTCTTCAGTAGTGACAGTCTGAATATGGTGAAATTGTTTTGTGATAACTCGTGTATTATTGCTTCAGTTTAGTTCAGACGACTTGTTCCAAAATGTGTCATTGAAGGCATTTGGTCACAGAAGAGATGTCCGATGTCTTGGATAGTATGTGGTTTTGGTAAATTTAAAAGAGTTTATTAATTAATTAATTGTGACATCAACAGATGCATTTCTGCACAGAAAATTCAGTGAAGCAAGTCCTCTCTTCATCTAATTTGCATTCAAATGCCACATTTTTGTGTAATTCTATATATGGAAACCTAGCCGATCGATTTCCACTGACCACAGTTTCCAAATATGCAAATGACCGAGGCCAGTCCGCTGGTCAGGGAACTGTTAATTCAGGTACTCCGTCATGTCTGCTGAAATGTGGAGTGCCCCATTATGTTCGAAGCACAACTCTAATCACATTTTATGTCTGTTAAAAACACCTAGAATTTTTATCTATTCCTCTTAAGTGCTCGGAATTGGACTCATGTTCGTATGGCAAGTCTGACTGGGAATGACCTCAGGTATATGATCCTGAAGTACTGCCGTAGTCACTGCGTACCTGTGATAACAAGTGCTTCTGTACTCTACTAATATTTTAAGCGTAATTATGTGACTGATAACGTTTATCTTTCTGTGATTTTATTGTAGAGTTATACCGTTTGGACTCAAGTACTGAGTCTAATGAGACCTCACCATTGTCTGAGCGGCATCAAACACCACGTCACTATCCTGTGTCTGGCAACAGTCATAAAACAACCCCCATTGGATCTGGGCCAGGACTGCATAGGGGGTTGCTGGCACCCCACGCCAGGTAGCCAAGGTTTGTTAACCACTCCATCCCTAACAGAAGCACTTGTTCTTTTGTTAAGATACAGAAAACTGCATTGCTTTTTGAGGCAACTTAGGAGGTGCTTTATACTAGACTCCCAACCGTCTGGATCTCAAATACTTCATGCAGATAAACTGTAAAATTTTTAAAATTACTGGTATTTTAAATATTAACCCTTTCCATGTTGATTTTTGGTCTACTTTTATTATTTTATGCAGATTATTTATCAAATAATATCACATCAATTTGCTTTTTCTCGTTACCCTCATTTAACAGAATTACAGGTCGGCAAAGACCACAATTATTTTTTAGAATTTTGTTTGTGTCTCTCTTTGACTTCCTATTTAAAGGCATTTTTATGCTCACATTAAATGTTTTATTAGTGACTGCAATTGCGTTATCGTAAGATGTATGGAAGCCTGTACAGAGATTGGTAGCAATGTTTGAACTATTAATTTTTGTGTTATATCTGCAGTTCTGAGTCTAGTTCTGCTGAGGATGAAGCAAGCTTCTCCAGCTATCGGCTGCAACCTCCGTCCGGGTTCTCTGACAGCCGTGAGCTCAGTGAGGCAGAATGTGACAGAGACAACACATTACAACTTGATAAGCTACTTGCAAGGTAGGATTTAATGTGTTTCATAACTGGTTCTTATTATGGTCGATTCTGTAGTTATTTTGTGACGGTTTCAACTGTGAAGGTTTTGCAGATCAAGAATCATAAGGATCTCAGTATTCTTATACAGCGGTGGTTCTCAGGTGGTTTGCTGTGAGCTTTTATCAAGTGTCCCACAAGGCTTTGTACAGAAAAATGATTATATAAAAATAAACATCAAAATTAATATCACACTATCACAGTTTAATACATTTTAGTTAGTTGAAACATAAAAATAAACTTATATTTGTAAGTTGGAAGAAGAAATTAGTGTCAATGGTAATAGCAGTTACCGTGCGCTAATTCGTAATAAACCCAAATACATGCGTATTCAAATGTACACAAATAGAAACATGAGTAATTCATGAATATCGGTGTTCGAATGAGAAACATTATATATAAATCATTTTCTCACAAAAATTTTCACAATTGTCGAAATCTCATTCATTTAAAACCGGAAACTGAAATGAGACTTGGCCCATTATTACTCAAACTACTTTATGTATTACAGATACTTGTAGGATACTAAATTCAAATTCAAATTAAACAAATGGTGTATAAATGTGTTAAAAATTCTGCAATTTGAAATCAGAGTGACTTTGAAATTTAATTGAATATTTTTATTACAAATGTAAAAGTAGTTCCCTAGTAGCAGGTATAGTCGGCGCAGTAGTTTTTGGCCGGTGGAATTTTCAAGGGGAAGGCTAGGAGCGAGTCTCTTTTGCGATAGTACAATGCTGACTGCACCGAGGAGCTTATCGGACTTAACGCCCAAACAAAAGAAATACACTGACCGTGCCATCTCAGGTACACAGAGTAGGCCCGCCCGCCAGCTCCGCTAGCTTCTCCACCGGCCAAAAACTACTGCGCCGACTATATTTGCTGAAAGCTGTCTTCCTGATGAAGGGGTTGTTTTCCTTATCTAAGAAATTACCATGTGACACTTTGCAAGTTTCATGTCTGAGATTAAACGTGCCAATGTAGTGTCTCCAAAAATCGTGTCTGCAGAACTCTGAGGTTGCGCTATGTGGTCTAAGCAGTTCCTTAGTAACTAAATTTAAAAACTGAGATTTGCCAAATATAACTTCAAAGATATGCAACATTGTCAAATTTGTAATTGTAGAATTTATGACCTGTATACAAAATACCAAGTCCCTGGGTCCAATGAGTTCTTAGTTGTCACTATCAAATACAGGTTTCACGCCCCTTCCACCCTTTTGTTATACACATTCAACAAAAAGTTACCTCATCGCATGATAATGTTGATTTTCAGGGTTGTAATGACATGTGAGCTTAATACTGCAATGTAATCAGTGATTATACAGGAGTGTTTGTATAAAAACTGAAGTTCAGTTTATTTAATACTATCGCAATTGTTTATTTCCTGGATTGATGTCCGTCACTTCACGAAACAATGTCCCATTTATCTCGATACAAATGTTCTCTTCTGGTCTCCTGATGTCAGTAACTGCTCGCTTGCGCTGTGTCCACAGTCACTGCTAGATCCACATATTATTTCATTACACAACTGGTGAGATGCAGGAACTCATATTTGTAGTTCTGGTAACAGTATGCCATATACGCTAAGCTGCAAGACTCCTCCAGCTGATTCCCATCCGATCTACAAGTCGCCTTGAGCAACCGTCCCAGAACGGGTCAATGGCCCAATCCTTGTAGTAAAAGTAAAGTTTGTCCCGCTACGTGCCATAAAGGCGCTTGGGGTTAGTGTAGGTATAGCTCCTCTCTTCCTTGACCTCGGCACTAGATGGGGGTGAGTGGTCGGCATCACGCCCCGGCCGGCTTTACCCCCGGAAAAGGACTCCAGTACCCATTGTAGAGGGGGCTGGGTGGGCCCCAGAGCCGGTCTGGATGCAGAGGCTAGAGGAAAAATCCTCTGCCCCCGTCGGGGATCGAACCCTGGTCGTCCAGCCCGTAGCTAGTCACTATACTGACTGACCTATCCCGTCTTATAATCCTTGTAGTAGTTGATGATTTTTAAACGTCTCTTACCATATGTTGTTTCACGACTCTAATTAAAGTGGCCCTACTACTTCTCCCTCTCAAGTTTGTGTGTCCAGTCATTAATACCAATCATAGGAGACTATAAAAAATATGAGGTTCGTGTGTATATTACAAATTTAATAGAAATCAGCCAATAGGTGGAAAAGTTGTAAGAGATGAAACAGATATTCATAGCATGCGAATGGAAGGGTTGATGCAGGGATGTGGACATGTTTCAGGTTCCAACATCAGAAGGAACAGGAGCGCCTACAGTTCACCATTCATGTGTGATATTTGATGATACAGGGACATTAAACTGCCAGACTTTTAAATACTTGAACCAATTACCTACACGTGTAATGCCATTGTGTTTTGTGTGTAAAGGTAAATGTAGGAATGTTTAGGGCTGATGTTACTTGTCACATGTGATGTCATGAATAAATATGTACAATAGATAAGGCAAATGACTGAGATCAAAATTATGTAACACATTGTTAAGTTATGCAGAAATACCACGATTCTGAATATTATTCCACTGAAATATAAAACATTAAAAGAATATACTGTATATTAATTGTAACGTTTGCTAAACCTACAATGCAGTAGTACCAATTTATTTACAGAATACTCATGTGGAAAGTGGTTACAGTTGTATATTAATAAAAATATATATTTTATAATACAAGCTTACAGTTTCACTTACAGAAAGACACTTTGATATTGCTGCTGAGGCTAGTATATGCGAAGGATGAAGATGACAAAAGCATTTCAACCACCATTTTCAGATCAGAAATGAATTTGTGATGAACCTGCACACACAAACTCAAATAATAACTAACTAACTAACTAGACGGCTTACGGAACCCGAAGGTTCATCACCGAACTAACCAAAGCTCACCACCGGACCCTGTCCTGGGCCAACAAAATCCAGTCTACTTCAACTCCTATCTCCCATAGATCCCGCCTGAGATTATCCTCCCATCTACGTCTAGGTCTCCCCAGCGGTCTCTTCCTCTCAGTTTTCCCAACCAATACCTGGTGCACACCTCTTGTCCCATCCATGTGCGCTACATGCCCCGCCCATCTCATTCTTCTCGACTTAATCACCCTGACAATACTGGGGGAGGAGTACAGATTTTTAAGCTCATCATTATGCAGTTTTCTCCACGCCCCATTGTCTTCCCTCTTAGGCCCAAGTATCCTCCTCAACACCCTGTTCTCAAACACCTGCAACCTGTGTTCCTCCCTCTGAGTGAGAGATCATGTTTCGCACCCATACAAAACAACAGACAATATTATTGTTTTGTATACTTTAATTTTCATGTTCTTAGAAATCAGACGGGAAGACAAAATATTTTGAACTGAGAAGTAACAAGCATTTCCAGAATTTAATCTCCTAACTTCCTCAGGAGTGTCATTTTGATTTGTTATTGTTGTTCCCAGATATTTGAACTTTGTAACCCTTTCAAAGGACTTATTAGCTACCCTAAGATAAGTTTGCCCACCTGTCTGCTGATGAGGAGATACTAACATGTACTTAGTTTTTCTGAATTTACTTCTAGCCCCGTCTGTCTACTAGCCTCTAGTAAAACTTCTGCGTTCCTCTCTAGTGTAATCATATCGTCCCCCAAAATTGCTTTAGTTTATTATGACAACTATGAACTTTTTGAAATGTTTAAAAAATTTAAAAAAAATTCGAAGTCGTTTCACCAGTCAGTAGTGGGACTGGTAGATACCGGTTCCGACAGCGACTGAGTGCGGAGAATTTTTTAAAAAAATCAAAAAATTGTTGGAATATGTTCAACGAGGGCACAAAACTAATTTTGAGATAATTTTCAAATTTTTCGAAAATTCAGAAAATGCTGGAAATTGTCTAAAAA